GTTCTGAGCCATATAAAATATGCGGTTGTTTCCGTGTACAGACGAACTTTCAGACATACGAAGATAATATACGCATTACTCTACTACTAATGAGTTTTGGGATGAGCAAACATGTGTATCGATTTATTATCATGTCTACGTACGTATGGAGGTCAATTTGAGCACAGTAAAAAGCCACGTCAAATGCTGCTGAATAATGAATTTCGAACACGTTTGCAGTTCCGAATGGCCATTAGGAAGGTAACTCATTGGTAAGTAAGGGACTGTTTCAGATTTTTCACTGATGTCGCAAGAAACCATTTTAGCCGCACATGGCAGTAGTGGGATGTATAAGACGATGCGCAAAGTTGCGTACCTGTTCTGTGCGTTGATTGGCTACTTCTTCGAAAAGCATTTCCCTCTGTTAACATGTTATTTTAAGCAATCCTTCTGTTGTAACGGATGCCCAGGCCGAGATATCACCGCTCAATAACGCCTTGTGCGAGTCCTCGAAGGAAGAACACGACAAGAAGTTTGCAATACCAGAAGTCCTTGACTGTAAAAAGGTACAACAAATTTAGGGCAACGAACGTGTGTAAGATAGGTCCACGAAACATTCAGCTTCTCTTCAGGATTGACTACCGGTGCGATTGGCTGGGACTGAGAGGCTGACATCCAGCTTGAATTTTGAATCATCGATTGATTGACGGCCCGTGTACTTTCGCTCGTGTAGGCCGATCGATAGTCTGCTTTGAGTGCGGCTATCCCTTGCCAGCTAACTGCTTGCTAAGGCTGTTCGTTAGGGCGTCCTAACACCTTCATTCTCGATTGTTTTTGTTTTTATTTAATTCACTTTACTATTGTATACTTTATTGATTGTATTAGAATGTTTACTTGGGCAAATTCGTGTAGGTTACTTTTTATTATTATATCATTGTAGATTGATCGATATTCTTGTTTATTGTTATTTTTTATTTACCGGTTTTGGCAGGTCTTTTTTGCGAAGCCGCTTCTCTTTTTTGCCGCGAGCGCGATAAAAGAGAGAAAATCGGCGGAAAGTAAGGCTGCTGAAAATGTGAATTTGATTTTATTGCTAGCAGCAGTTTTATTATGGCTTTCATATTAAAAACAGAAAGCTATAAACAATCAAAAAGTAAGAAAATACGTTGGGGTTTTGAAATTGGTGTATCGGTTGAATGTCGTGCAATTTGACGTTTGGGTGTCGTCTCATTGATAACACGTAATAGAAAGATCTATAATACATTCATCAACAATTTTTCCAGATCAATAAATATCAATCAATGTACAATGATGATTATAAAAAGTGACCTAGACGAATTATCCAATCAACACTCAGAACGGTTGCGCAAGGTTGCGCATAGTCTTATACATATTTCAGCCCCAGCAGTGGAACGGCACAAAAAGCCGCTTCTAAGAGACGCCAATAGAGTGAAGTGGAGTAATCATATGAGCACAGAAATATGCCGCTGTGTGTGTCGCATATAAAGTCACCTGCATGCCCGCACAAAAGGCAACCGTCTTCTTCACTGTCGTAATCATGCCTACCGTGCGTGATATATGTTAGCTGAAACTCTCCAACTGAAACGTGGATTCCTCGTGCCGATGGTCCTGTTTAATTAATCAGCACGGTAATTCCTGATCTTGTTTACTTCGTTTCCTAAGGGTCACTAGGCTATGTATCATATTAAGATCAAGCTTGCAGCCTTGCCTTACTCTATCCTTACTTTTGATCTTGGTGGTTTATCTCGCAGCGCTTTGATGAGCCTACTCGAGTGAGTGCAATCCAGTCCGAAGATTGTGTTGCTTGATTTCCTTATGGCGATGGTTACGAGACAGCTGCCATTATGACGATATTAATGAAGAAAACCACGATGATGATGATGATGATGAAGAAGCTGATGATGATGATGATGATGATGATAGTAGTAGTGAAAAGCATCACCAATGAAGCGACGAGGGAATTTGAGCGGTGACTTACGATTTGTCTGTCGTCATCCGTGCTTCATCCAGCCAGCCGAGTTGCCTAGAACGCCGCACTTTTAAGTCTAATAGCAAACGAGTCACTTTGTGCAGACTTCAGCTTCGGCTTCACCAGTAACTGGGCTTAAATTACACTTGGCTAACGACGTAAAATAGGTCATACATTGATGGTCTTCTTGTGTTTCGCCAATAAGACCTGTCGCGAGTGCCCTGTTAGCAGTTTGAAACGCGAGTCTAAGACTATTACGGTTTACCGTGGCTGAGAAGGCAGCCCACTGACGCCTCTAACAGACACTACATTAGCCCAATTGGCTTGGTGTGTTTAACGGCAACGACTACTTATCCCCTGGTTGTGTAAATACTGGTGTCAAGGGGATCACGTCATGCTGTGGCGCGCGTAGACGGGTTCGCCGGTTCTGTCAACTAATACACTAACCCCACATCACACAACTGATCGGCTTAGACGGTAGCCTGACGCTTGCGTTGTAACAGGGGGTGAGGTCGAGGGCTCAGCGCATGTTCCTCACTAAAAACAATACGACGCGCTTGAAGCAATTGCGATGCGCTAAAAGTGGTGGCTTGGAAATTTGCCAACTAACGCGCACCGCCCGGTCAGCCCAGTAAGTGTTATGTGGAGGAACTGACTGGCGGATTGAGAGTCAGGCTGCAATGGCTCCTTTTTAATGTGGTCTTTATGGCACTCACGCTCAGCTGGGATCTAAGCCTAGCAGCTGCGAACACGACAGCCACCAGCGCCCGTTCCTGTGTGGGATAGGGAAGAGAGAGCGGTAGATGTCGCAGCCAAACTCTACTGTCACTTTAAATTAATTAACGTGCAAGTCACGTCCGGGCGGCGCCCTCCCATGGAGCACACAGTGGACGGTCGAATTGTCGGTGGTGATGCTGATGGTGGTGAGAAATTAAAAAAGCATCTGTCCCTGCGGCGAGAATAGCAGACTTGTAGTTGGAAGCATTTTTGTAGTGCATTTCTCCTAGGCTCTTAGCAATAATTGGCTCAAAGCTAATACGGCAGGATTTAAGCGATTTCATCAGTAAGGAACATTTGCATAAAAGAGCAAGTTATGTGTATTTCAAATCGCTGTCCATAAACGGACCGGTGTGTTTATAGCTGATGCTGCTGCTCAGAACTTTAGATTAGTAAAAAAAATAGATAATTCAGAGTAGTCTGGTGTCAGTGCTAAGCTAGAGAAAGAGGCTAGAAAACTGCAAGTTCAGTCACAGTCTCGATAGTCATTAGCAGTAATTTTGGAGCTCCAAAATTATAGAACGTTGCTCCTATGCTAATTAAAATTGCAGTCCGTGGGCGACGGCGGAATGCTGGCTTTGCAGCGTGACGACCAGAGAGTCTGCTTATTGGCAGCCCGTTATGCTTAATTTCGAGTCTGCAACTCCTGATGACTACTTAGTCCTTGTCAGTAGTTCTGTTTTGCATGGTAGCGACTTAGGAAACTGACGCTGACAATTGACAGGTTAAAGTCAGAAGGAAAAAATCTAATAAGCATACCTTCAGTTTTTGCTCACAGGTTCCGCGATTATTTAGAACAACACATCTAAAGGAAGGAAATAAAAAAGGAGATGAATTCACGAACAATGGAGACGACAAATATGTTCAGACTATTATTTTACCTTCGTCAATGGTAAGACTCATATCAAGGTAAAAACCAGTAGACTGCCCAAGAATCAAAAACAAAAGCACTGAGCTCACGAAACGCATAGATGACTGTAACTGACTGTACTGTCAGAATGGACAAAACAATAAAATTCTAAGCTCGACCGGAGCTTGCTCGTTGACAGATGTTTTATGAGAAAGATATGACAACTCGTACAAGGTTACTGTGATACTAAATAAACACAAACGTACGCACGAGTTATTGAATAAGGTCATTTTAACTAAATTGTAAACTACCGGATAGCCGAGCGAATTAAAATGGTGAAGGTTGCAGTCATCGCCAGAAGGAAAATCAAAATTAAATACCGAGTGGCTACCGTTTCGTTTACATTGATCAAAGTGTTTTTCTCCGTCTTATTACGCTCTCTTCCCTTAGATATCATCAAGGTTTGGGTGGTCGCTAACACCAAAATAAATGAATAACTGATTTTGTGAAGGACCACACCAGCGTGTTGGGGCAGAATAGAGCTTCATCAACCGTTTTTTCGTGCTTATAATGATAGCTATACTACCTCAGAAGGTGTAATTAATTTAAATTCAAACCTCGTAACGAAAAAGTTTTAACTGGACTATGCCACGTCCGTATGAGGCCTTAGCTACGAACGTGCATGAGTATGATACGCCGTGAGTTAAGGCCTTCACGTCACACGAGTCACTGTGCCCATTCTCACCATTAGTTGGTTGGCAGACTAGGGCAGTTGGGTGGTGTGCGAGAGGGGCGAAGACAGAAAGGGTGCGATAAGGAGACATAACGAATCAGCACATGCCTTCCTATGATAACTTTTATACTCCTGATCCTAGAAACAAGAGTACACTTTACGGGTGGGAGAATTACCACTTGGGGATATAACACAGTTCCAGGAGTGACTGCGAATTGGGCCACCATTAATAATTCTCTGTGTTGCCTCTCCGGCATCGCTCACTTCAGAGATCCCAGATGTCTGTCTGAAGTATGACACGCGTGGAATTAGGAGTCGGGTCGTGTGTGGCAATCCTGTTCAACGTGAGCAATTGCTGCGCCCACGCCCCTCTCAAGCCATTCTTACTTCGGCCTACCTACGGATGATAGTGGGTGACATAGATATAAAACAAGTATGCTTCACTATGCACAGATTCACGGACATGGGCTGGATACTTGACTCGTCCCTGACGATGGTTGAACTTCTGAATATAAGGAGCATTTTCGTGCTATCCCTATGGCCGAGATTTGATTCTTTGATATTCCATAAGCAGGTAAGTCGCTAGTTAACCATTTTCAACTGTAAGGGAGCGTTTGTTTTTTACGTCGAATTATTAAATAGTTTACCACTATCCTCTACTCTCGCTGTTATATATCCGCCTATCTGAAACATTAGAATGTGTTGCGAACTGGCAGCTTTCTCCTTTCAACCACAGTTCCTTCCTACTAAGTTAATTTTAACCGCTTTAGTTATCAGTCCCGGTTGCATACTAGTGCACATTTTTTGCAGACTGGTTCTATATAATGCAAACGTCTGCAGAGGATTCTACGATGTAAATTATGTATTTTTTCTATCAAACATCATGATATATTGTACTGAATGAGTCATCGCGAAAAAGAAATATCCATAAGTTGAACAAATGAAACTGATAGTCATTTAAAAAATTGAAAAAACAGTCATAAATTAGTGGAGGTAGGCAGTGGAAATCGCTCCATTTGCTAATTACTGGTAGGTCAGTTTGCCAGCAGAAGAAAATTACATAGGTTTAGTTTCATAAAATAATATGCTCTGAAATAAATCAACGAACCGGTATCCTTGCTGTGCAATGCTCCGGACAATTGTCGCAATATAATGGCTGCAGGAACAACCTGTGAGGCCAGGTAGGACTAGTGCGATTGGGCAAATTGGATCATCATTCGGTTTCTCCGAATACCAAGATAATTTAATTTCACCGCCATCTGAAAGGGAAATTATTTCTCTGGGAGCATGTCAAGTTCAAAATACCTATACTTACTCTTCGTAGTTTAGCTTGCGGACCCTTTTAAATATTGGACGCAGTAACGTTTGCATGCGACCAGTAAAGCCCCAAATAAACGGGGTGTACACCTCTCGAACGGACTCCATATACTTTGTGAAAAATTGAGACAATTTTGACGGACGAGCATAGACTTTTGGACGCTAAATACGTCAGTTGGCATATCCACGAATTACCGATCGGGCACTGACTAAATAATACACTGCATAGATACCAAGAAGGAATGGAATTATTATTCTGGATGAAATATCCTCAAAACGAGATGATACTAGCAGCGGGAGAACTGAAGAGCTGTGCACGGTCTCCATTGAAACCACACAACCGCCCAACATATAGATCAGTAAAAAAGTGCACACTAAATCCAAAAGTGTGACATTTCACAGCTGCTGCCAAGTTGAAGGTCGAGGTTCAGACTTGGCTAAAATCTCAGAATGTGCCAATGTTTAAAACTATGGACCTCGGAGAAGGATACAGTAACTTTTGGTAGAGAGCATTGGGGGTGTTAAGCAAATGTTTTAACGAAAGCGTTTTCAACATATGACAGCAAAAGAAAGGCAAACAGAATTTTGTCATAGCATGCCATATGTACACACAATTGGCAAGCACGACGGTCGACAAAAATATTGAATTTGCAGGCAGAGTGCAAAACATTCGGTGATGTGTGCATAATGCAATTTACCTGCAAACTCGGTTAACTGCACTAAAATATATAGGTAATGGCAATGAAAAGGGCAACAGATAACCCAAAACAATGGTTTTCTTTTCATTTTAGACATTTTAAATATGTACGGCTTTGGCATATGCTATCAGATGACCGAAATCAACTAGAAGGCATTTCGCAACACTTCACTGCGTCGCTGTCTAAGCGCGATGGCCTGTGGGGCATAGACATAGAAATGTACTATTAACATATTCGAAGACTCATCTGCAGCAGGAGGTTTCAAAAAGACTCAATTTCTTATTTAAAGTCACACGTGACCGTTATTTGCTCAGTATGAATACGCTGAAAAATTATAATGAAGCCAACACACTAAAAATAAAGAACATACCATAAGGGTAGCTCAACATCAGAAATTTACCATTATTAAGCCACTATTCGAGAAGATACGTGACGGTATGTTTTGTTCTCCTAAAACCATAAAAGGGTCGTAAGCCTGTTGAATTTGCAACACTGAATACCAAGAAGTGGTTTTGAATAATGTAATCGCGGTATGTTTTTTTTTACTAAGAAAAGACATTTTTAAAGTTAGAATCAAAACGGATCTGATGAGACCTGCCACGGATCAATAACGGATTCTAAAAGCAGGAACATTTCCATCTCAAATGGGCACTGAGATCCACCGAGGTCATGCTCCTTTCTATCTGGAAAAGGCGAAGTGTTTCTTTTGTCATTATCTCATCTCTTTGGAACGAGAAATAGGGTCGATCTTTTCTAATGAAGTTTCAACATCACGGCAAACCTCTCAAATTGCCGGACATAGCACTTTTAAAATTCGGATTTAGTTAGTCTTAATCCTGGCAACTCCGGCTTGCCGTTCTCATAAACTAAACGTCACCTGACGGTCCCGTTTGCTTCAAACCTAGCTGCCCCCAGCTATTTTTGACTAATTATTCCGGTAGCCCCCATAGAACATCAGGAAACCCGTCTACGTTGGGTATACCAAAAGCTTACTTATGCGGAGGCAGTCCTTCTTAACATCCCATTAACTGACCAAAGGCATATCGTTGGAAAGGCGTGATCTAAAACAGGATTTCACTCCCGAGCAAAGCGAAAGGGAGTGCATGTTAGGAAGAACCTAACGGCTA